ATATATATATATATATATATATATATATATATATATATATATATATTTTAATATTCAAAGGTATTCAAAGTCAAACCTAGAGGAAGTAGTGCTTCCAATTTTTTGCTGTTGTTGTCCTCTAGAATGTCAGATTAGCCAGAAATGGTGAAACTCAAGTGTGTGGCAAAGAATTCTTAAGGGTCCATGAGACCAGACTCCAGCCAGCTGGGTTTGTTAGATGGACCAGGCTAACAAGGTTGCTGGTGTCTCTGACCAAGGATGGGGCAGCTGGGGTAACCTCCACTTGTAGACTGTGCAACCCACCTTGGAGACCCAAAGTCTCCCCCATGAAATTTTAGACTCCCTGACTACTCCTTCAGGAGGGAGCCACTCTTTCCAGAGGCATCATTTCCAGACAATACTGAATTGGCTTTGCTCAGTTTTCTCTGTGTAGATGAGTCCAACATGTGCAGATCACTGGGAGTAGCACTGTCACCTCCTAGAATGTCCTGACATAGACTTGGGTAGGCCCTGGTGTGGGACTCTACTCTGCCCAAGCTCTAGTGCTCTTCTCACCTTTGTCCTGGCCCTGCAGGCATTATCAGAGTACCCTGCTTGTTCTTTTATTCAATGCCCTGAGGTGGTGGGGAAACTTACGCATATCATCTGCACATGTTTGTTTCTACCACATATATCCCAATGTGGTAGAAACAAACATAAAGGATATCCCCTTGCAATAACTTATAAACAAAAGTGTTATAAACTCATAAATTGTATTATTTAGCAAAGAACTGTTTAATAATTTACTTGGTGAATATTTAAGGAGCATACCATTTGCCAATCACTGCAAGGAACTGGCATAATAAAAATGAATGCAATTCCCACTATCTTCTGGAAGAGACCAATAATTACAATAGGCGGGAAGCAAGATGGCGCCGTAGGTAACAGCTGCACCCGCCGCCACCTCCCACAACCACATCAAAGTTACAACTAAAATACAGAACCGCCATCGCTCAGAGCCTCCTGAGATCTGGTTGAACAGAAGCCCTACAACCACGGAACTGAGGAAGCACGGAGACTGGTAGGAGGGGCGGAGACGCCGGCAGATCGGGGCTGAATTGCAGAGAAAAGGCCATAGGCCCACACCCGGTGCCACAGGTTAAACCCAGGAGGGAGTCTTGGTTGAGGTTTCCTGGAGGAGTGAGGGGTCCCAGCCCCACATCAGGCCCCCAGCCCAGGGCTCCAGGGCCTGGAAGAGACGTCCCCACAACTCCCGGCTGTGAAAACCCGCAGGGACTGTAGCTGAGGGACCTGGAGGCTGCGGGAGCCCCAGCAGCTCCTCCTAAAGGGCCCACACATGGACTAACTCGGACGCTCCCTCTGAGCCCAGCACCGGGCAGCAGCTCAAAAGGAACCTGGGACACTCGGGGAGGAACTAACCTGCCTGGAATCCGGGCGAGAGCTGGAGGGGCAGCTTCCTCCCAGGCAGAAGGGCTGGCGGAGGCCACTGCTCCTTTGGCGAGTCCTCCCCGCACACAGCCCGCAGGCAGGCGCCATATTTGAATCGCCAGCACCTGACTCTCACCTTTGGCCCCGCCCCGTGATTCCCAGAGGCCCCGCCCCTCCCCACCTGCAGCTCATCCAGGCCATTTCCAGGGGCTTTTCTGTGCAAGTGGCCTCTCCAGCCTCATGCTTAGGGCTTTCCTAAAATCTCTCAAACAAGCAGCAGGTGCCCCACACGGCTTGATAAGCGGCCCCAGGCCTGGCCCTAGTGGCAGCTGCATTGGCTCATAGCTTGGCCTCTCCTGGGCACCTCCAAGCCCAGCACAAGTAGCAGCCAATTATGATTTGCTGTGTAGCTCATGCTGGGGGGCCCTGGGCAAGGCACTGGCACAGGCTGACTGGACACCTCCAGGGAGGCCCCAGGCTAGCATGATCAGACTAGAATTTTAGTAATATCCCTCTATCAGAAAAGGCACAAAATAAAGCTGGGGAATCTAATGGAAAACTGCCATGGTGGCCTGAAGGTGCTAGGTAAGGCTGTGGCAACACAATAGGAGAAGAGCAGATAGAGTTTGAAACCTGTAGGAATTGGAATTGAAAGATCTAAAGGAATTGGATATGGAGGGTGAAGGAAGAATTCGTATTGACTAGTTTTCGGCTTTGGTGACTTAGAGTAGATCACAATGCCATTAACTAAGAAGTGATAAGGAAAGAGGAGTTGGTTAACAGGCAGAGAGGCATAAGCTTAGGATTTAATAACTATGTGTGCAAAGACAAGAGCTTTATTTAATATTTACATAGAGATATTCTTAAGACATTAACATTTATCTTGACAGTCCTTTTGGCCACCATTAACTCTGAGTTCTTTTTCTAGTAAATAAATTTGCATTGATTCTTCTACACTCACCTGTCCTCATAAAATCTGGGACCAAGACGTGGGTTGTAATTCACAGACGGGGGAAAAATCATCCATGAGGAATGGAACCTCAGCCTTCGGACACTTTAGCAGTAATATCTTACCAGGAGTTAATTAACTATGGATAATATCACAAATAATGCATTCCTATTGCCACTGGATTTTTAAAAAATATCCATTCTGCTATTTCCACATCAAAGCTTGTAAGAAATAAGCTGTAAGTGGGTTTCACACCATTTAAGAAGCTCCTGACATTTTTGAAGTTCCCCTGGGGTTTACAATGAGAGCCTTTCTAGGAATACTGATCTCTAGGAAATGAAAGGAAAATTCCTCACAAATTTTCTCTAAATGAAATAAGAGGAACACTTAATCTTAAAACTATTCATAGGAATTGCACTTTTTAAAAAAATAAAAGAATAATAGTGGCTGCAGGTTGCAACTTGCTTTGGCTTTTCTTCTGTGGCAGTGTCTGAGTGGGGGGTTTGATGAAGAGGATTTGAGCATAATGAGCAGAAAATTGCAAGTGATCGATCTGCTATATACATTATCTCGGCACCTAAGTGAAGAAGGTGATGAAATTATCCTTTGAATTCAAAGCCATGCTAATCATCAATCTAGATCTTTTTTTTTCCAGTGGTATGTTTTGTTTGCTTAATTATCCAAACCAGCCACCCAGTAGCTTCAAATCCATTATGAACCATATAGCCCCCTGTTATATTCTTGATGGGTAGACAAGTATTTCATCTTTCCTTTTAAAGTATAATGTGCTTTTGATATGCTAGCTTAATACTTATCTGTCAGTGTATGATGAGTAGGCAGAGAGCTTACCATGTTTTATCAAGCTCTTGAACTAGAAAAAAATTGAAAAATCATATAATTCATCTTTAGTTTGTATCTGAGAAACAGATTTGTTAGCTTGCTAATCATTTTTCAAGGAAAAGTCCCTGAGTGTGTCTGTGCTGTCCATCACTGTATATCCAGCACCTAGGCAGTGCTTAGGGCACGGTAGAGCCTCAGTAAACCTTTGAGAATGAATGAATGAATGAATGAATGAATGAATGAATGAATGAATGATGACGTGCTGCTCCTGCTCTCTACATCCCCAACTGCTCCAAATATTACCATCAAGAGATAGTCATTCGTTTATTTTCTTCACATAGTGTCTTAATAAGGTGATTGTATAATTTATAGTCCAAATCAGGACACTTTAGAGAGTAACAGGGATGCTGTTAATAATTACACCAGGACCAGTGGCATAAACCAGGACATTCTCAAGCAAATTGGGACACATGGCAACCTTATACATAGAGGATTCTGAAACACCGGAGGACCAGAGAATATTTGTCTTGCCTATATTTCATGTTGTCTATTTTCTTGACACCTTACTTAACTTGATATAACTGAACTAACCTTTTGAGCTAATTACTGGGTGTTCCCTAAAGTTTTTCCTTTTTTGCCTTCCAATTTGAATTAGCATTACAGTGATAGGGAAAAAAGTAGCTTTATAAGAAGTAAAGAGCATCTGAAGGGCACTATTCTAACCCCCAAGCCTAGCTGTGTTTGACACATACTTGACTCAATAAATGTTTGCTTTAAAAAAAGGAGTTCTGGTTTCAAAACAGTAGAATGTAGAACTATTAAATACTGCTCCCACATAAAATCCATACAAATGATTAAAATACATATTACAATAATATTGGCAAAATAAAAAATGAGGGAAACTAATGAAACCTTGAAAAATGGAAAGCACATGGATTGCAAAAAGCACTTCTCAAAACATGTATAAGAGTAGCAACAAAAGAATGCCATTGCTAGAGGGGGTTAGAAATAGGGAACAGAAAGGAGACCAGGGGCAATTAGCAAGGGTTCCAGGGTGGCATCAGACAGACAGATTGACCCTTACACACACACACACACACACACACATGCACGCGCGCGTACCAGTCATATCCATCTCTACACAGGAGCAGTAGGAGCTTAGATCAGAGTGCGAAGGCAGTTCTCCCAGGCATCCTCAAAGCTCCAGAGGAATCAGGAGTGTCCAACCTCACTGGAAACAAAAAAAGCCTCAACAGCAGCTCCCTCTTCCCCACCAGTGGTTTACAAAGAGTGTTAACAGAAAATCTAATAGGGAAGTTCAGCTACCAAAAGAAACTCATTAGAAATATGAAAATATTCTCAAAGTTTGAGGAACACCACACCATAAAAGGGTAATTTTTCTCAATAAAACAGAAACTAGACAAATGAAATAATTCATACTAGTAAAAGTAGTATAAGACTGTAACATAGCTTATTTTATATCATTTGGGAGGTAAGAAAAAAATATCTCATTCAAAAACTAGGATAAGTGATTATGAAAAAGAACAGAGATTGTGGAAATGAAATAAATAAATCTGTTGAAATTTAAAAATCTCAAAAATGAGCTGACTAGCAGAATAAACACAATTAAAGAGCACATTAGTGATGTGAGAGACTTCACCAGGAAATTATCCCTGAATGTAGCACAAATGGAAAAAGTACAAGAACAGCACAAAATAAAAGTTAAAAACAAAACAAAACATGAAAAACGGGGCTGGAAATCAACATCAGTCCATTAGGGGTCCAAACTGAGAGCATATAGAGAATGAGAAGGGACAATGCTTGGTGGCATAAAAGCCAAAAAAGAATCTAGACCTGAAAAAAAGACTTAAGTCCTAAAGTTGAAAGGGCCTGTCAAGGAACAAACATAATAGCAACAATGGAGACAAAAAATAATTCTAGACACTTCATAGTTATGTCAAGTCTAAATGGAAGCCTGGCCAGTGTGCCTCAGTTGGTTGGGTGTCGTCTCATGCACCAAGAGGTTCCCAGCTGGATCCTGATCCAGATACATGCCTGGGTTGCAGGCTCAATCACGTGGAGGCGGCCCATCGATGTTTCTCTCTCATCGATGTTTCTCTCTTTCCCTCTCCCTTCCTCTCTCTCTAAAAAAATCAATATAAACATATTAAAAAAATTTTTTTAAAGACTAAATGGAAAATTCTAAAATATAGGAGAGAGAAAAATTAAAATGCTTATAAAAAGTTAGAATCATATTGACACCATACTCAGCAGCAACATCATTGGATATAACAGAATATTAAAGCATCATCTTCAAAAAGCTGAGAGTAAATAACTTTGAGTCTCTAATTTTATACACAGTGAAACTGTGACTCAAATACAAGGGAAGAGTAAAACATTTCAGACATACAAGACCTCAGAAAGCTTATTACTCATAGATCTTTTTATAAGAATTACTAGAGGATATATCTCAGGAAAAAGAAAATAATTCCAGAAGGAAACAACTGGATGCATTGTGTAATTTTAAATTGATAATAAAATGAAAAGTATCTAGGAAAGTAGTGTTTGATTTTTTAAATTGTGAACATGAAATTAGACAAAATTAGAATTCTTTAATTTGTTTTCATTATACAATAAGCCAAAAATCTATAAAGGTACAAACTGAGGGATAAACAAAGGCCTGGAATCCTCTGATTAACCAGACTTCTGCCCTTAGTGGAGGCCCCACTTGTCCTGATGCTGGAGGAAGGGGAGGCCAGAGGTCAGGACTGAAGCAAGATCTAAACTCCCCACAAAGATGGTATGAGAGCCAACATACCACAGAACCCCTGACAGAACCTCTAGTATAGCTTCCTGAAGGTCTATATTTCCAATTACTGTCAACAGCTGGTTCTTTCTCTGTGTCATTTTCAGGGACTCTTCAAAGGTTAGCAGGAATTTTATAGGGAGAAAATTTGATAAATCTAATAAAATTGAGCATTAGCAGAATATTGAGATCCCAGAAATGCTTTAACTTACACTCTAACTCTTTAACTTTCCTCTTTCCAAGTCAAGACATAAGGAGTTCTGAATGATCGTTTTTTCCCTTGGGCATTGTCCCCACTGTTCAGGTGGCAGATAGCCTCAAAGGGAAAGTTCTTTGTCTTGGCAGCTCAGTGTAAAAGTGGAAGTTTGTTAAAAGAAGTATCTTGTACTACTACCTAAGGCAGGCGAATGTTATGGTTTCCTTTCATTAATGTCTTACTTGGCGTCGTGCCTTTGGTGGACATTTTTGTTGAGAGCTCCCAGCTCACCTCCGCCTTCCTGGAAGCACTTCACATCTTCTTTCTTTCTCGTAGCAGGAGCCGCTGCCCTGATCCTGCCTACCTGATCCCAGTAATTGGCCCAGCAGCTCATACTTTGTGGGCCAAAATCCTTCTCTAGAACTTTCTACTTACTCCTGAAATTGAAAGAGATTGAGGCCCTTCCTCCCCAGAAATCTGTGAGGATTTGATCTTGGTCATGACCATCTCCCTAGTATATGGAAGATACAGGTTGGCAGATAGAGAGAATGAAGCCAGAGAGCCAAGAATAAGGGAAAAAGGGATGGAGTCTTGGTGGAATAGGTCCCTGGCTCCTTTGGCACTAGTTATACCCCTACCCATCCTGGAGTCTGGGCCAAGAAACTTACCTTTTTGCCTTGCTAGTTCAAGTTGACTTTCTATTATTTGCAACCAGAAGAGTGCAGTCCAATTCAGTGCCTTCCCCTGAACAGGTGCACAGTAAAGGTCACTGGATACAGAGGAGCAGGCCAAGAATTAATTCAGCATGAGATGCAGCTCCCTAAGAAGGAGGTGAGTAGGCCATGCCAGAGCATCATTGTGGGGGGCAGAGCACATTTGTGGGGGAAAAGGTACACCATGTGGAGGCAATTCTGCCAATAGGAGACAACCAAGTACCTGGCAGCAGCTCATGCCAACAAAGCATAGCAGAGGTGACAGTAGGTCCCAGCAGGAAAAGGGCCTTTATCTAGAAATTGAAAATAATATTTGAGGAATTCTGTTTTGAGTATTGTAGGATTTGAGACTGCTATTATCTTTCTGTGGTCTAATACTTGATTTGCATTGCTTTTACTTTCTCTTAATAATGCTAACATATGTGAGTTTATGTGTATAATTCCTGAGGGGAAGGAGAGAATTGATGTGTCAGCCTGTTGGTTTCCTAATGAAGAGATGGTCTTAGGGTTCTGGGTGAGGAATCAAACCAGAAAGAGTGTCACTACACAAAGGCAATCCCACTTCAGGGCATAAGAATCTCTGACCGAGATTCACTTCTAACCTTTAGGGTCACTTTCTTTGGAGCTACAGTTTTCATTTGTGACAGCAACTAATACTTCCTTTATGCCAGTTTCAAGGATTCTTTGACTTATCATATATTTCTTATGCATTTTATTTGGCCTCAGTTTTTTCATTTGTTTATAGGTGGTTATCAACTTTGATCTAAACCAGGAGCATGGTATAGAAATGATTATTTAACAGGGTATTAGAGGGGGACCTAAGAGAGGAGGGTAGGTTTTAGCTCTATGACTTCAAGCCTCATGAGAGAAGCTTTTATGGGATGACTTGGAGAACTTTGAAATATATTGGGAGTTGGGAGACACAAAGACTAATGCCTGAGAAAGTTCAAGTATCCTTGTGTCAACAGGGCCAGAGGTGGCTGTACTGGGAGTAGGCCTGAACTTCCAAAGTTTGCTAAGCCAACAAATATCTGTGCACCAGATATGAGTCACTTGGGAGACACATTTCTGTGAGGTCATTTCATATCCATAAAGGATAGCACAGAAGGCTGGAGGATTTCTAGTAATAAGAAATTGGAGGTGAATTTCAAATTCTTAGGAGATGTAAGAGAAGTTGCAAGCTGTGGCCTGGAAATGAGATGCATCCACCCACATCACAAAAAGTGCCATCAGAGGGGTTGACCAGGGAACCTCTGAAGAGACCATGAAAGTATATTTTGGGAGAAAGAGTTGGCTATTCTCACAAGCCAGGCCCAGAGAGCACGAAGCCAGCTTACAATAGCACTGATGTAAATAAGACCTTTTCTGTTCTCCCACGACTCATCCTCTTTCCACCCTCTCCATGTCTCCCCAAAGGGTGCTCAAGAATTGGCTAGTAAGTGGGGGTAAGGGAAGGAGAAGCCCAATGTGGAAAAATGAAAAAAACTCCGTCCTATCCCACTTCCCATGGCAGACTTCCAGCCTGAAGCAACTTTAAGCTAAAGAAAGGAAAAAGATTTTAATTTTAATGCTAAATAAAGTTTAGTGATTTGAATAATATCTTAGACTGGATGTTCTGGTTATTGAATTAAGATTACTTTGGGGACTTCAAGTGACTATAGGGCTGTCTGTTACTTAAGAGTGAGCACAAAAGCCAGAGTTCCTGACCAAGTTTCCATCCTTAGGCAGGCTAAAATTAACCCCACTTAATGCTTTTAAACAATAAAGTTGTATTTTTAATGCAACATCACTTAGATTTATGTAACATAGTAGTTGTGAAGCGACAAGTACTATAAAATCGAACAAATGTGATAATGCCTAAAATATGTGAGCAATCTTTTCAATAAGCATCAAGAAGTCATGTTAATTATCCTCAGAACTAGTCAGACATTCTTTCAGATGTTGTATTTATTCCTGGGCTTTATAATTTAAATCATAGTTTACCTTTAGAAGTATGATAAAAGGACAGACAATTAAGGCCAGGAAGAACAGTTAGAGAACTTGGATTATTTAACAGGGAGAAATAAAACTTATAATGGCACCAATTCTTAAAACTTTTGTGTCACCAAGAGTTAGAAGCATCAAAGCCATGAATCCATTATGGCACAGATGCACTTTGATTAAATACCTAGTAACACAGTGCTGCACTAAATGATCCAAAGAGCTTCAAGTATGGTAATAGTGCGGAAGAAAATTCATAGAAGCATCATGTATCCAAGAGTCATAATTGACATCCTGTGACTGGTTGGTCTTCAACATCTATTAGTTGACATGTATTGAGCAACTGTTATATGCCAGGTTCTGTAGCTAATGAGGCACAAAGGTACAAAGTGACCAAAGGGTCAAAAAGGAGTGAAAGTGGACACAGGAGGGATAAGAGCCATTGTTGCCACTGGGACAGCAGTACAGGGGAAGCTGTCTTAATTCATCTCTGTTTAACTGACCAGATAAATTTACAAACTCTCTTATTGCCTCTGCAAAACATACTGAGGCCTTAAGCACTCGGAAATGCTTTCAGCTCCTCTAGCATGCCTGTGCACTTCTCCTCTCATCCTTCGAGTTATGTTGTTGTTGTTGCTCTTAGAGTTAGTTGTGTTTATTTCCCAAATTTTTTATACCAATGATACTTATTATTGTAATTAAGCAATTTTAAAAATAATATATGATACAATGGATATGAAAATATGATACAATGGATTTTGAAAATTGGATGCTTTGGGAAGATACAATAAAGACTAGTCATTTAAAAAATTACTATATAATAATCCAGATTATTTAATAGTTCTTAAAAGTTTATGACTAGATAGCAGAATGTACCTGCCATTCTCTTACCTTTTCTAATCAAAGTGCTATGTCAACAAGCCAATTTTGTAGCGCTATTCAATACCAAAACAGAATAAGCATTGGCAGAAAACATACTGTCATTTTCTCACATAGACGAGCACTGTCAATTGAGAAGCCATTGTCTTGGCCACCAGCTAGGAAAAGTAATAACCTCTAGAAATTCTATTATTTGTGTGCCAGTGAGGCCATATGACCACTGCAGGGCAAGTCTTTTAGCATCACCCACCACATACTTCATGTCAGTTCATTCATTCATTCAATTAATATTGATTGAGCTCTCATAGGGAGACTGGCAGAGAAACAATGCCTCTTATCGAACATGCAGGAGAGAAAATTACTTGACTCACCTGATTCTATCAGTATGCTTCCAAGGAGGGATCCTGGAACAGGATATAGCTTGTGGTGGCCTCTCTCTTCTGATGAAGCTCATTGTGCTGGAAGGGTTACTAGCCCAAGACAGCTTCAGGGTTTAGTATTTAATCATTTGTATCCAGTCTGGCCTGTTCCTTGTGGAAGGACAGGCTCCACTGCAACACAATAGAGTGTTGATTACAAATTGGCTTACAGACCCCTGGAAGTGGCCGGCCCCCCGGCTGGTAGTGCAGAACTAAAAAGCCCAGCCTATGTAGTAGGAAGTTACCTTGGTGACTCTGAGTGTGTAGGGAGACAGCTGGTTTTTATGTATAAAACAAGCTTCATCATTGATTTCTATAGCATCGATTAATTTCTATTAACGTGCTTATGTTTAACGAGATTCAAAAAATCGAATGCTCATTTTCCATGACACTCAATGTTTATGAAGTTTTGAAAAACTCTGATAAATATTTATGATAGAGGCTATATAAGATTATTGACTTTCAAGTAATTCTGTTTTTATTTCTAAGATGACTTAGGCACCACATAAAATTATAGGCCAAACCCTTTTCTATCTCAGAAGGGTATTTTAAAGACTGAGACTTCATTTGCATAACACTTATTGCTTCTTTGAGGAAGGAATTAAGTAAATGAAAGATAAATTGATATAAGAATCTGTAAATATTCTTGATAAATTTGGGAATTTTAAAACAATTCTCCCTCTGTGTGCCATGAATTTCTTAACTATGTGAAATGCAATGTCTTAAAAAGACGTTGAGAATACATCTTATTTATCTCACATCATGTGGCTATGAGTTTTTATTTTGAGCAAACATGATTAGAATAGACAAAATTAGAATGGATGTTCCAAAAACTCTGTGTGTCGTCTCAAGTTAGCTATTAGAGAAGAGTAAATTGAATTGTCCTAATGTTTCTTACTATTAATATTAATTTAAAATTCTCTTAGTGTTCTTTCTCAGCTGGGTGAATGCCAATCTATACACGATTAAACTTTATTTGTAAGAATGCTGAATTCTTACCAAACATGTATTTGGTGATGGAAGGGAAAACAGAGTGGTGATACCCAGATACTAGATACTCTTAGCTATTGGTAATCCACACTGGCCCTCCCATCTGCTTATTAACTCACTTGTTCTATGCAAGTTGTTGCTTAGGGAAGAGAAATACAGCAGTTGAGAAATTCTTCTAGTTCATTCCTGACTCAGTACCTCACAAAGAGGGATCAAGAGGAAGAGCACACAAGCATGAGTGAAGAAAACTGGGTTACCCTTTGTGCTGATGGGGTCTCGCACCTCTCTTTGCCTTTACTCTCTCCTGGGTTAGCATCAAGTTTACCGTGGAAATGCAGGAGTTCCTATATTCCTCCCTAGCCCCTCTCCTACGTTCTTCCTTCATCTGGGGTAGACTCAGAGGCACTTGCCACGGCACGGGGGCTATGAAGGAGCCCAGGAGGGCACCTCTGTGCCTGGGCTGTCCTTGAATGGAGCAGATCATTCCCATAGACGCAAGCGACCCTGCAATACACACACAGAGGACATGGGACAGTTGATCAGGAAAACTCTAGCTAGGCAGAATCTGGTTATAGGCAGCTGGTTTTTAGTGTAGCTGTGGCAGTCAGCAGTATTTGCAAGTGAGAAGAAATAATGTACAAACCTACCATATGGGAGAATGTGATAGATGCCAAGGACAGTGGTAGGTGTGTTACATACACAATTGTTCACACAGCAAACCCATGAGGTTGGCATTATTTTTTTGGCCACAAGG